TGTGTGTGTGCATGGACTCAGCAGTCTGTGAGTGTGCATGGACTCAGCAGTCTGTGAGTGTGCATGGACTCAGCAGTCTGTGTGTGTGTGTATATATATGTGTGTATGGACATAGCAGTCTGCGTGTGTGTATGTGTGTGTATGGAATCAGCAGTCTGTGTGTGTGTATGGACTCAGCAGTCTGTGTGTGTGTATATGTGTGTATGGACTCAGCAGTCTGTGTGTGTGTGTGTGTGTATTTACTCAGCAGTCTGTGAGTGTGTATGGATTCGGCAGTCTGTGTGTGTGTATGTATATGTGTGTATGGACATAGCAGTCTGTGTGTGTGTATGGACTCAGCAGTCTGGGTGTGTGTGTATGGACTCAGCAGTCTGTGTGTGTGTATATGTGTGTATAGACATAGCAGTCTGTGTGTGTGTATGTGTGTGCATGGACTCAGCAGTCTGTGTGTGTGTGTGTGTATGGGCTCAGCAGTCTGTGTGTGTGTGTGTATGGACTCAGCAGTCTGTGTGTGTACCGACTCAGCAGAGCTTGTGTGTGTGTGTGTATGGACTCAGCAGTCTGTGTGTGTGTGTGTGTGTGTGTGTATGGACTCAGCAGTCTGTGTGTGTGTGGACTCAGCATGCCCGTATGTATGGGACTGTGCAGCTGTGTGTATGGACTCAGCAGAGTCTGTGTGTGGGGTATGGACTCAGCAGTCTGTGAGTGTGTATGGACTCAGCCGTCTGTGAGTGTGTGTATGGACTCAGCAGTCTGTGTGTGTGTGCATGGACTCAGCAGTCTGTGTGTGTGCGTGGACTCAGCAGTCTGTGTGTGTGCGTGGACTCAGCAGTCTGTGAGTGTGCATGGACTCAGCAGTCTGTGAGTGTGCATGGACTCAGCAGTCTGTGTGTGTGTGTATATATATGTGTGTATGGACATAGCAGTCTGCGTGTGTGTATGTGTGTGTATGGAATCAGCAGTCTGTGTGTGTGTATGGACTCAGCAGTCTGTGTGTGTGTATATGTGTGTATGGACTCAGCAGTCTGTGTGTGTGTGTGTGTGTATTTACTCAGCAGTCTGTGAGTGTGTATGGATTCGGCAGTCTGTGTGTGTGTATGTATATGTGTGTATGGACATAGCAGTCTGTGTGTGTGTATGGACTCAGCAGTCTGGGTGTGTGTGTATGGACTCAGCAGTCTGTGTGTGTGTATATGTGTGTATAGACATAGCAGTCTGTGTGTGTGTATGTGTGTGCATGGACTCAGCAGTCTGTGTGTGTGTGTGTGTATGGGCTCAGCAGTCTGTGTGTGTGTGTGTATGGACTGTCTGTGTGTACCACTCAGCAGTCTGTGTGTGCGTATGACTCAGCAGTCTGTGTGTGTGTGTGTGTGTGTGTGTGTATGGACTCAGCAGTCTGTGTGTATGGACTCAGCAAAGTCTGTGTGTGTGTATGGACTCAGCAGAGTCTGTGTGTGTATGGACTCAGCAGAGTCTGTGTGTGTATGGACTCAGCAGTCTGTGTGTGTGTATGGACTCAGCAGTCTG